GAGGCCTAAAACAAGCGTTTTCGGCGAGTTAGCGCTATGTTGGTGTTCAACTGCTAAAAGGCCGGAAACCTATTTTAAAAGTGTCCGTCGCCCGAAGCGAATAATTCCGCCAAAAAATTACCACCAGTCTCGATTCCTCCAGAAAATCAAAGCAGAGATGTTGCAGTTCCATTTCCATTCACTCGATTCCCAATTCCTCCCACAGATCTTTCACTAGCGATGCTTTTATCTCCAGATCGACAAACAAACCAGTTAGCTCCTCTGGTCCCCTCGGGAGGTTTTGTCAAGAAACCAGTGTTGTAGCCACGGGTACACAAAAACCAATGGTGTAGCCATGGGTACCAAAATGGGACCTAGCTATGCCAATCTTTTTGTAGGTTTTGTCGAACACTAATACAACGGCTCCAAACCTGAACTCTACGGTCGCTACATCGACGACTGCATCGGCGCCACTTCCTCTACCAGAGAGGAGCTGACTCAATTCATAACCGAGAAAATTATGTACATGTGATGTTCCTAATCGTTTTCAAAAAAAGTTCCTTGGCATCTTCATGTTGGTATTTTAATTACTTTAAATGGTGCCTGTAAAAGCACTCTATACAGTACAGGGAGCTTAAACCAGATTGGGCCTAAATGCAAAATCTGAAGTTAAAAACCCAACTAATGATTGTAATTTCCTGTTGCCGTCAATAATAATTATGGCAACAGCAAACAAACCTTGAAAAACAGAAAGAAGCAAAATAGATTGAAAACTACCAGTCATAACTGACAGAAGTGACCTTTTCACCTGGTTGAAGTAAAGCTTTGTTTCCAGAGAGGTCTGCTAGCTAAGATGATTGTCAGCAGAGAAAAATGTAACCATTGTTTGAGGTCTGAATTTCAGAGTATGCAAAATATGTTACTGAAAACTGCAATATAAAGTGTAGCACAGAACCCCTGTGTAATTTAAAGAGTTTCTCAAATTGCCTATATTCCAGATGGCCAGACTGCAAACCAAAAAACCTTCCATGAAGGAGGCATTAAAGGAATATTTCCTGGCACAACACTACATGTCAGATGGAGGTGACCTGCAAATCATTAGCATTATATCTAGGAGATAAGGAGTTGTGAGCAGTATTACTAAGCCACTTCAAGCTACCAAAACTGAGATTAATAGCTCATTTAATAGCTCATGAAATTTGGCCTGACTACAGAGCTCTTTACTAACCCATTGTAACAAAGATTACTAAAGTTTCTGACCACATTTCAGACAATGAAAACAATGTAATATGAACCCTAGCAAATTTGTTGCAACCATTACCCAGCTCGTAAATAGAATAGAAATAACACAAAAAAATTACCATGTCATTGGAGGGATTTAATTTGGCCTTGTCTACACTAATTGAGTTTTCATTAATGCATTTCCGCCTGACATTGTCCACACTAGTACTGATAATTTTTTGTAGGTTAAAACTAAATCAGGCATATTGGTTACTTTACGTTTTGGTTACATTATTAGTTACTTTACGTCACGTGGTGCAAAGTCACAGGACAGTTATCATGCAATCCGTGTTGATATTTGTGCTCCAATTTTTTCCGTGAAAAAGAAACATAGTCAACACAAGAGTTTCAACTTTTCTGTTCCATTTACATGGAAGGAAACCAAACTTGGTTTTTTTTTTTGCTTGCGTCAATCACGTGCATTTGCTATCAAATCACCACTGGCTTTTTTACTGTGTTTAAGTGCAGTTTAATTGAGATGTAAAAATTAATGGGAGGGTTATAAAATAAATAAACCCCACTATGGCATGCTGGTATGTCGGCTGATAATGTTCTTGGCAGAGAGATTGCCCTCAAAATTTCATATTTTCCCTTGAAGCTTCGCTTCTCAGCCAAATATTCATTTTTCGGACAATCTCTCAGCCGCAGACATTATCAGTCAACATACCAGCAGCCCTTACTAAATATACCCTATTCTATTTTATATCCATCACCCAATTTTATAGACAAGACAAAACAAACAAACAAAGTCACATTTTCAGGTCCAGCTTTTTAATAAAATCTGTGTATCTTTTTAAACTGTTAAAAAGATACACCTTCTCAGCCAACTGTTCATTCTTTGTAATTTGAATATATCAACAAAGTTGAAATGGTAAATTGGCCACCATTACGATTATAAAAGTTGACATTTGAAGCGTTAGCCCTTCATCGGAGCGAATAGAGGAATTGTGGGTTGTGTGTGCTTTTAAAGGCAGAAAGAGGAGCTACGTGATTAGAGGGAACATGGCAACAAGAAAAATTTATTCGTGTTTTTCTTGTTGCCATGTTCCCACCAATCATGTAGCTCCTTTTTCTGCCTTTAAAAGCGCACACAACCCACAATTCCTCTATTTGCTCCGACGAAGGGCTAATGCTCGAAGCATGAGCTTTTATAATTGTAACAGTGGCCAACTTACCATTTCAACTTTGTTGATATATACAAATTATTTCATTACCCCCACCGACGCAGCCCCAAACAGCTTCTTTAGAAACTATCAGCCTTAATTCATGTTCATTCTTTGGACAATCTTTCAGCCTCTGGCATTAGCCTCCAATATACCAGCCTCCCGAAGGGGTTTATTTACTAATTATAATTTTTAATATGCAAATCAGGTAATTTTTAAATATACAAGAATAAATATAAGTTTAAATAAGCAGTCCCTTTATTATGACATTACATGTAAGTACAAAATTTAATGGCTTTGCCATTTTCCATGATAAAAATGATGTCCAGAGTATTGAAAACATTTGGTTATATCAACTATGTTGAAATTGTAAATTGGCCACTGTAATGAGTAAAAAAGCTGACGTTTCTATTGTTAGCCCTTCGTCATTTGCTCTGACGAGTGGCCAGCGCTCGAAAAGCCCTTCGTCATTTGCTCTGACGAAGGGCCAACACTCGAAACGTCAGCTTTTTTACTCATTACAGTGGCCAATTTACAATTTTAACTTGGTTGATATAACCAAATTACTTTGATACCCCCACCAACGTAGCAGCACAGTTTCTTTTGAAACTTTCAGCCTTTATTGAAAATATTGGCAAACATAGCCCTATCACTCATGCATCAGGGTGGAGGATGATGGAAATTACATTGACGAAAACATTATATTAGCTCATGGCCTTTTATTTAATTAACTTTAAACCCCTTGCTATCAGTTGTAGGTGAAACTGTGCGAACTCAAATTGACAGCTTTCCCACGTGTGCAAGTATTAGCGTACGAATGACGCCGAAGTATCGGCTGCGCTTAAAAGGAGATGGTATTCTATATATTTATACAAAACATATGGACTACTGATCAAACAAAAATTCGAAAATATGTTCAATGAATACAAAAGCCACAACGTTGACAACCTCAGTGTAATATTTGCGGCGACTATTTTGGCGACCCCAGTCGAGAAGAAACCGGCAGAAGAAACCGGCACAGGAAACCGTCGACTGCAAGTTAAGCACTTGAGAATTTCATGTATTTCTCTGGCGTTACCAGGGCACTCTAAACTTACATTTTGTTGAGAACCTTTAAGCTGAATGTTAATTGGACAATTGGAATGCTTGAAAAATATATGTATCATTCGCAATCACGTACTCTTGAATATTCACGAGCATCTTATGTCTCAATAATTCATAACTTACACTAAAACAATGTTTACTTACCTTCCACAACAGCGGACGCCATGAATCAAAATAATAGCCCGAAAAAAGCGAGGAAAGCGAAACACAAGTGACCGAATAGGGCACCTACGACAGCACCGAAGAAATCGAAATCACCCGGGAAAATCATCTCTCAATAGATCTGGTACCCAGGGTTCACTGGCCTCACGGTCATCTCGATGTTGAATGATTATACTTCATTTTGTGACATTTGAGAAGTTACGATAATCCTTCATTCGGGGACGAGATCGACATCAACATGCTCACGCCACGCATGCGCAGATGTTTTTATCCAATCGACGACAAACATTCTGCACGCGCATGCGCAAACAAATGCTTCTCTGCGTACTGTTTTTCGGAGGAGCAGTGCGTGATTCAGTGCATGATCGGGCATGGTGGCTATGCGAGTTGGCCGTGGTTGATTCCTGCATTAAAAGACTTATTTGACGTTTACAAGCGACGAATGTTCCAAGGTAAAGTCAATTAGGAACTTTTCAAAGATTTCTTTAACTGATAGCGTGGAAAATGGGTCTTTAGAGCCAAATTGGTTAACTTCGTGGCCTAGCGCTCTATTCTTCAGCAGTTTGATGGGCCGAAGACATGTTTGTATTTTCGATTCATTTGCGAAATTGTGCCTCTGGGTATATACTTAACATCTTAACAATCAACTGCTTTGACGTTTGTTTCCTCATTCCTTAATTATATCGCGGAATTTGGCTGGATTTGCATGGCTACCACCTAGGAAACAAGTGTTTTAGCGTGATTCAGACTTCGTTCAACTTATGGATGACGATGTGATCGTATTTTCGAATTGTTTGCGAATGGTTGCTCGCAGTTATACTTAATGCCTCTATTTTCACCAGCTTTTGATGTTGGGTTACTTATTTCAAACTATTTTCCGAAATTAACTGGATTTACTTCAGTGATAATAGCTACGAAATATGTCTTTCGAGCTAAATATTGTTTAAACTCGTGGCTTATCACTTCTTCGGTCAGCACTTTCAGTTTTCTTCAGTTGGAGACATGTTTGTATTTCCGCGTCACTTGCGAATTTGTGCCCATAGTTCGGTATCTGGTCTTTTCGTCCTAGAGTCTTTTCGTCTAAAGTCTTAAGTCCATTCGTCCAACATGAAGTCTTTTCGTCAAAGTTATAACATTGTTTTAAACCCTGTGAAGGCCTCTAATGACTACCAGTTTAAAGATGCCCCAAACCTGTTTTTTTATCATTTAAACAGTGAAAACATGCTAGCTTATGTTTTAGACATTTGCTAAATGATGAATGGTACTGTACTTTAGAATTTAGGATCTATATTGATGACACCTTTTGTTTGTTCAATAGTGATGAGGACGCGCTCGTGTTCTTTGATTATATCAACACCAGGCGCCCTAGTATTCATTTCACAATGGAAAAGGAAATTGATAAGAAATTATTGTTTCTAGATATATTGTTAGACAACAGTCATCCATCTATCCATGGTCACTAGTGTATATTGCTGATTATTTCAGCTTTGCCCCTTTGATTTACAAATTGGGTTTAGTCAGAACGTTGGTTGACAGAGTGTGTAAGATCACTAATTCCTGGGTTGGTTTTCATCTGGATGTTAAGAAGCTTATTTTCTTGCTACTGAAAAACTGTTTTCCATCTTGGGTCATAGATGGGATCATTTACAGGTATCTAGCTAAGGAAAATAATCCTCCTCTTACTGGGCAGAACGGCTCATCTAACTCGGGGAAACCTTCACACCATCATAAACTTCCTTATGTTGGCCTGTTTTCTAAAGTTTCTCAGACTAAGTTAAGGCAACTACTCAAACGTTGCTGTAAAGCTAATTTAGATGTTAAGTTAGTCTTCAGTACCTTTAAACTCAGAAACATGTTCAGTGTAAAAGATTTAGTAGCACTAGGTCTACATTCGCGTGTGGTTAATAAATTTTCGCGTGCTGGCTGTAATGCCAGGTACATTGGTGAGACCACTCGCCACATTTGCACATGAGTTCATGAGCACCTCTTGTCAGACAAGTCTTTGCATATTTACAGGCACCTACAATCAAGGGCCTTTCTTGACTCTTGTGATACAGAGTGTTTCACGATCTTAGATTCTGCCGCTTCAAAATTCCAATTTAAGATCAAAGAGGCATTGCATATTAAGTGGGAAAAACCCATTCTTAATCAGCAATTGAACCATGTAGTTTTTTCTCTTTCCTTTTAATTATGCATTTACTTTTGTCTTTTATTATTTATTTATTCATTATTATTATTTTTTTTTTGGTTATGCACGAGCTATTTTCATTTTTTGCATATTTGATATTCAAATTGTAATGAAAGTCGTTACACGTAATTTGTAGCGTACCTGAATATAAGTTCAAATGTACAACCATTAAAAGCTCATTTGCAACTGAAGATGACATGAGAATGTCGAAACATGTCTTGTAAATTTAAATTTAAAGTTGTCATTTCTTTATTGAGAATTTAGGATTTCAAATTGTAATAACTTTGTTACAATGAGTGATTTATAACATTGTCTCCAATAATTTTAAGCATTTCTTTATAGGAGGCATGTCTTCTGTCACCCCATCATCTCCTTCTACCAGAGAAACCTCTAATTATGCTCAGCTGTGTCGCCTTTTTGTTGAGGTAGGATCTTGTGTGTTGAGGGATACATTTGACAGACTATGTCCACCAAAAGACCTTCCTGCATTTCTGGCTCAAAACAAAACAAAATTACAAACACTTCGAAAGGAAAGAGTCCTGAGTATCTCCCAGTGGCATAGACTGTATCCTGCTGTCAGATCATCAGTTTCCTCAAGGGACTATGACAGTTCCCTACTGCTATGTCTTCTGAGGAATATTGTTGATCAGACTCTTCCTGTCTCTGGCTGGAGTAACCTGCCTGGATCAGACACCCGTGTAGAAGCTGACATCACTGGCATCAAGATCCTCAGGGACAGAGTTTACAGTCATGTTACTCATGCTTCAGTTGATGATTCAAAATTTAGTCTACACTGGAATGACATCAAAGAAACCTTCGTACGTATTGGAGGGGCCCACTATGAGAATGTTATTAATGATCTTAAAATTGACCACCTAGAAGCAGACTTTGAGGAACATTACCGAGAACTTTTCAGAGAGTGGTTGAAGGATGATGACTGCATCACAGACAAAAATAATGGAGATAAAACAGTGAAAAAAGCCTCTAAGGAAGAGGTCAGGGAGGGCTCCATTGGCATTTCTGGACAACAATCTGGGATGGAAGGTGTGTGCAATTTTTTGTCAATACTAAATTGCAAAACTTACTCTGTTGTGTGAACAGTGTTTGACATTAGGCCACTTCCAAGTTCTCATGGTTAAGTGATCTGGTGCTGGAATTAGGTCGCAAGATTGAGGCCTGTAGTGTGAATTCAGAATAAAGGGTTGTGGTAATGAAAATGAGCAAATATTTCTCAAAATTCAATGTGGGAGAGTGAAAAATTACAAGCAGGAGACAGGTATTCAGTCAGTTGATGGCAGCAAAGGATAGGACAAAGAAGAACTGTTCAATTTATGCAAGAAAGCTGCAGTTATGAAGCAGATCAAACTGGCCCCTGACTGCAAAAAGCTGTAGAAGAGAAATTATAAACAAATGAGGGCAAATTTTCAACACCTAAAATTTTGAATGCCTAGGTGCACAACTTCTTTAACCTTCCTGAGTTCTCACTAGGTGTTTGCATGCAGCTTAGCAGAGCCTGACCTCATTTTCTTCTATCTCAGCATTTAACCATTGTTTTTTTTCTTGCAGATTTGTTATAAGGCTTAGGTGTAACTTTCAAAACGATGTACATGTAAACAAAACGAATTGGAAATCTGTTGTTTGCATAATGAACTCTGAATTATAAAACCTTATTAAGAAAAAAGCCTTTTTGGTTCTTTATCATCATCTTCTATTCAGTGCATCCTCATAAAATTACTTGGTCATTCATTTTAGATATAAATGATAGAAAACATAAACCATAATTTTCTTTTCAGAAGTGGTACTAACGCCAGTGGAAAAAAAATCAGCAGAGAATTGCAGTGCTAGCCCACCAGAAATCAGTGAGAAACTTCCAACTTTTAGTGATCTTCCAAACATCTCTCATCATTGGAACAATATTGAACTCCCTGTTGATATTCTATTGTTAACAGAGGAGGACTGCGAGTTCTTAAGCTGCTTTGCCTACCTGAAAGAACCTATTAGGAGTTACAACAAAAATATTGGCTTTGTTTACTTTGGGTGCATTGGTGATGATAAAGGAAAGAAAATGAAAATAGCACTAATGAGGTGCCCTAAAGGTCTTGCTGTTCCTGGGGATTTTTTGTCTGTTTTGAGAGATGCCATCTCTCTACTGAGACCCAAGGTTATTTTTTCTGTTGGTGCATGCAGTGGTTTCAACAGCAGAAAGGTCAAGCTTGGAGATGTAGTTGTTTCATCAAAGCTGATATCAGCTGCACCAAAAACTCCCCCCAGCAGAGAAATTGGTAACCTGATCAAATATGTGGCAGATGGGTGGAAGGCACCTTTACAAAATGCTGATGAATATAATGCCAAAGTGCACTGTGATGGAGTGGTTCTGAGTATCTCAGAGGCAAACAAGGACATGATTGGCCAACATCCTGAAGCAATTGCAGTTGAAATGGAAGGTGTAGGTGAGAATCATAGTCTATAAGCTAAGGATATTTTAGCAGTGTTTCAACTGTTTCTAAATTTTCTCACATGTTGCTTGTGATAATTAACAATTATTCCACGAGCGCGCGTTGGATATGAGATGATAGATAGCCAATGAGGTGCGTAGCGCCGAGTTGGCTATAATCATCTCATATCCAACAAGCACGAGTGGAATAATTGTTTTATTAAAAACGTTAAATTAAATTATTAAATTTTATTAAATCTTTAGCTCCCTTTTAATTTTAAGCTGACACGTACGCTTGCCATATTTGTAGATTATGGTATATTGGCTGATATATCATAATGGCTAAGCCAATAAAAAGTCTTGAATTGTATTATCCAGTTTTTAATAATAAATAAAATACCATGTAGTATGAAAAATTTGCAGAAGTTACATGTACTGGTATACAATGTAGTTTGTGTTAAAGTGATTTTTTTGACAAGTTGCTCCAGGAATAACATTTTGCAGGTGAAGGTGACAAAGATGCCTTATGGGAACCCTAAAAAGAAAATACAAAACAAACCATAAAATAACACAAACAGGTTAAAATCATATTGTTTTGATCATTTTGAATCTATTATTATTGGATAGAGCAACTTTGCAGTTATGTAAACATGAATTGTCTAAAGTTTTTCTTGTGAAAAATGTGGAAAGCTTCTGGTTGCAGTAATTAGCCCCAAGTACAGAACATGTAGGAAATAACCTTCTGTGATGTGAACGATTTCAGATTACTTGAGAGTTAAACTTAATCAATTCTTTGTTTAAATAATTACATTGATCGTGCAAAAAAACTGTCTTGTGTGTAACTATCGTAATTTTTTTCTCCAGGGTCTCATTTGTTTGACTTTAAGATGGAATGGGTGTTTGTCAAAGGCATCAAAGACTTTGTGGATGACAGGCATTCTTCAAGTGAGAAATGGACTCAAATTGCATGTGTGATGGCGGCATCTGTTGTGGCAAACATTTTGAGTGATCCAGTCATATTCCAAGATTGGCGTCACTTTACTACAGGTATTGCTTCTGTCTCATCTTCCTTTTCTTTTTACAAGAACAGATCTGATTTTGATCTGCCTTTTCGTGTACATATCACAAATCAAGATGACTTTCAGATGTATTTCATCGAATAAGGGCCCATGCTCTAATAAGCACCCCTTAAATAAGCTTCCTCCTTTCTCCCTCACTTAATAAATTTTAGGGACACAAAAAAAACCTGTTTCTATTGGCACTTTATTTATAACTTTTTAAGCATCATGACAGCAGAATCAGTACAGGAGAAAAGTTCCTCCAGCTATTTGTATTTCCCTATGCTTGCAGAGTTCCTTTGTGCCTTCCTGTTTCTTTTAATTTATTTTCCAAGTGCTGTGATAACTTA